TTCTTTCCTTAATGTGTTCATGTCTGGCTCACAGTCTTTCTCTTCTCCCCAACTTCTGCCCTCATATTAGGAGGTGCGGGGCGGGGAAGGAAGTGTATAAGGTGTAAGGAAACTGGAAAGGTGAGGGTGAAGAATTTATGAAAGTCTTTGAATGCCATAGAAGATTTTATATTTGATCCTGAATTGATAGGGAACCACTGGATTTGACTGAGTAGAAAAGCAGGGGTGGGAAGGGCACATAGTCAGACTTGTGCTTTAGGAAGATGATTTTGAGAGCTGAATTGAGGACAGACTGGAATAGGGATGTACTTGGGGTACAGACCCCAGCCATAAGGCTATTTCAATAGCCCACTGTGTGAATTATGGAAGGCCTGCACCAAGTTGGTGAGAGTTGTTATATATGAGAGTTGTTACAAAGGTAAAATTGACAAGTCTTGGCCAGGTTGGGGGTGGTGAGAAGGTCAAGACTGAAGGATGATACTTACGTTGTGGACCTGGGTGACTGGGAGGATGGTGGTACCTTCAACAGTAATAAGGAATTTTGAAAGGGAAAAGTGTTGAGGGGAGGGGGATAGAAAGAGTTCAATTTTGGACACACTGAATATAAGATGTCTACAGGACATCCAGTTGGATACATGCAAGAGGCAAGTTGGAATGTCAAGACTGGAGGAACACAGAGAGGATCAGATTGGACACATAAATGTGAAAATCATCTGCATGGAGATGTTAATTGAATCCATGGGAACTGATGACAGCACCAAGTGAAATACTATCGAGATAGAAGGGAAGGCAGCCCAGGACACAGCCCAGTGGGACACTCAGGGTTACCAGGTATGACCTGGATGAATACCCAGTTAAGGATACTGAGAAGGTGTGGCCACGGTGTGGTGGTCGGGGGCAGGTGCTGTCTTTTACCTTTCTTTGTATTTCTAGTGCTTAGTACAGTGCCTGGCACATAATAGGCACTCAATAAAAGTTTACTAACTAATTAAAAGGAGATCCTGGAAAAAATGCTGCCACAAAAACTTAGAGGGACAAAAGTGTCAAGAGAAGGGTGAATTATTGTGGTAAAGGCTGCAATGTGTTCAAGAAAGGTCAGGACTGAGAAAAGGACATTGGATTTGGCATCTTAGAGATAGTTAACATTAGTGAGAGACATTTCAATTGAATGATGAGGGCAGAAGGTAGACTAGAGAGATAAGAAGAGAGAGGAAAGCAAATAGATGCGACTATTGTAAGTAGCTTTTTCAAGGAGTTTAGCCAGAAAAGGGAGACAATATATGAGATGATAATTAGAGGAGATGGATGGATCCAGGGAGAGAATCATTTAAGATTGACTTGGGACTGCAACACTAGCTTTATCATCTTGTGGGAAAAAACTAGTCACTGTATAAGTAGGGAAGGAAGAGGCATGGATCAAACCCATGTTGTGGAGAAATACTGGTAGACATTAATTCTCTCACACAGTACTCAGCATTGAAATTTTAAAATACCTGGGTGAATTTGGTACCAGCCCTTTACCAATTCAATTCCCTGTCAAAGGTTTCCAGATCCGGGAGAAAGAAGTGAAATGGCATTTTGGGCCATGCCTTTCACTATTTTGTTAACATAGCAAAGCAGCTGTAGGAAGAATGAGGTTTTCTGGGAAGTGATCTCTGTCGACATAGATTTTGCGGAGCATTTGTCTTTTTTTCTTTGGTGATGATAGATGATACATTATTGTCTGTCATGATGATAAATGACCAGTGTGGGTCTGGGTGATATACATAATGGCTTTTTTTTTTTAAATCACAGAAAGCTTGTACCTGATGGGGTCATTTTTCAGATGTGTCTGTTTCTTTGTGACCCCATTTTGAGTTTTCTTGGCAACGATCCTACAGTGTTTTGCCATGTCCTTCTCTAGCTCATTTGATAGATGAGGAACTGAGGCAATGAGGGTTAAGTGACTTTCCCACGGTCACAGAGCTAATAACTGTCTGAGGTCAGATTTGAACTCAGGAAGTCTTCCTGACTCCAGGCCCAGCATTATAGCCACTATGCCACCTAGCTGACTGTGGCTGTGTTACCATGTCCCCATGGGGACCCTCTGATGCATATGTATTATTAGATTTGGATGTTACCTGAGAGGATGTCTGGCAGTGCTTTCCAGTGTCTTTGGTGCTGAAGTGATGGTTTTTATATCTCTTGATATCTCATCTAACCTACACTGTTGTATAGATCCTTGAAAACTCATTTCAGGAAAAGGTCAAACTGAGATAAGGACTTCTCACATTGCAGAGAGTAGGATGTAGACAGGAATTCCCAAAAATAATTCAATTCAGTCCAATAAGTGGCTGTTGAATGTTCATGAGGTAAAATTGGATAGTTTTTGGAAATGGCTTTTCTTTTACCATTTAAAAAAGAAACTTATTCCTCATCCTTCTAATCTTAGAACATCTAGAGAGATGAGGGTACACTGGTGAGATAAGAGGATAAGGGGCAGCAGAATCTAATGGCTACACCAATCAATTCTGAGTCCCAAAAATCTGGGTTCACATCCTACCTGACTAGCTGTGGACCCTTACTAGCTGTGTGACCTCTGACATCTCTCATTGCCACTGTTAACAGAATTTTACTGAGCCAGTCTGTAACCTGGGAATTCTCAGAGCAGCATAAAGCTGGCCTAGAGACAGGAGTGCCAGTAATCAAATAGGGGTGCAAATAATTCGTTTCATTATGAGGAACAGATTTGCAAATCGGAAATTCTCCTGATTGCAATTCCACCTTGCTACAGTGAAGGCAGACATTACATACATAAATCACAAGTGGGAACGGAGGGGGGAAGGTGGATTACAAATAACGATTTGCTGGTCCTGAGTGGTTTCCCACAACGAGCCCACCAGTCTACAATACGGGTGTCCTGGAGTCCTGTGGAAACAGGATTGTTTCAGGTCCTTGGGAGGTTGTTACTTGGTGGGTCACAGGACCAGTGTTGTGTGACTGGAACTGGCTCTACAATCTTTGATTCACTTCACTTAAGGAACACAGGCACAAGAATGCAGTGATTATGAGAGCTTTGTCAAGGGTTTGATTGATCATTTCAAGCTGCATTGCAAGCTTCTGACTCGCGAGTCAGAAGAGGCAACTCTGCAAAATCTAATCTATTAGTATATTCATCATGCATATCATGTTGATTAATATGAAAATCATCATTCCCTTCCCACAACTCTGGGGTTCAGGTTTAATTAGTTGACTTTTGAGTTCCCTTCCAACTCTATCTCTGATCTTAAGGGTGATTTGGGGCAAGTACCTTGACCTCCCTGGGCTTCATCTTCCTCTGTAGCAGTAGGGATTGGACTCTGACAGTGCTTTGCCCTGGAGACTTAAAGCTATGATTTATTGGACCCATTTGGTGGCTTGAGGTAAGGACTCAGTGAAGAGGGAACTGAGGGAGCAGATAGAGAACACACATAAGACACTTGAAGGAGAGGCTTTGTTCAGGATGGAGGCCATGGTCCAATGAGGAGAATAGTGGATCTGGAGTTAGAGGAGCCAGACTGGAGTCCCTGCTCTACTACTGCTACAAGGACTACATCAAGAGTCTCCCTCAGTGTCTGATTTTTGTATGCTCCAGGGTTAATTTTTCTTTTACACTATGCTTAAGCTTCCCTGATTTGACACTGGTAACATCTTGGCCAACATTGGTTAGTTACTTAACAAATATCCTTCATGGCTAAGACCAGCCATTTTCTTGTACCTATTTCCTCCAAGTTTTGTCCTTGTCAGTGGGCTACATTAATACTCTGCCTGGTGCATGGCCTCTGGGCTTGCTTGCTAATCCATCTCCTTGCACTCACCTGCTTGGTGAACCTCTGGTATGGCTGCCTCTTTATCATCCAAGTAGAAGAGCGTATTCGTTGGTCTCCCCAGCTTCTGGAGGCAGGGGTGACCTGAGATACAGTCCTTGTGCTGACCCTCAACTCTCAACACCTACCACTTGTATTTATTGAGGGGGTTGAGTCTCCATCCTCTAGGCAAGTTTCTGAGAGTAGAAACTGCAGGCAAAGAAGGTGTCAATGGAGAGATTTTCCTTTTCTGGGAGTCCTCCATAGCCCTCAGGTGTCCAGTCCCTATCCCTGCAGCTGTCCGATCAAGATACCTTTTTCTCTGTCTCTAGGGCTTCTGGCTAGATGCCTGGCCCTCTCAGGTGCTCTGGGTCCCCTGGGTGATGCTCCTAGTGGGTAGCGCAGCATGCTGGAGCTTGAGAGGATCTCCAACCTTCTACCTCAACTCTCCTTTATTGGAGCGGGGAGTAGCCCAACAGCAACTGCCTCCAGTTTCCTACAGCCCAGGCATGATCAGGGGCACACGTGCATCCATGGTTTGGTGTCCCTGTGTCTCTCCCAGCCTCTGGCCTGATTTTGTCTCCTCCTGCCTGGGAGAAAGGAGGCTGAGACTACCTCTGCCTCAGACCACCCCTTTCCTCCTCTGCTCTGAGGGTTGTCAACAATCAAAGTCGTATTCAGAGCCTGGTGGTCTGCAGCTGCTGTGCTCTTCCCTTATGTGGAGCCCAGGATACCCCACCCCAAACCCAGCCATCCTTGCCCTACCCCTCCAGGTTTTCTATAAAGGGGCTGACCCCTGAAAACCTCAGGCTGAGCTTAGGTGTGGCACCTCTCCCTTTCCACCTCCAGCAGCCTGCCCTCAGGAACCTGGGACCCTGCTCAGGCCCAAGCCTTTGTCCAAGTGGAAGATGCATTATGGCCCCCTCCCCTTGCCAGACTGAGTAATAAGAGTTGAGAGATAGGATTGGGGGGGGCTCCCCACTCCTCTGTTTATGACATCACAGAACCCCCTTCCCTCTTTTCTCCCTCCTCCCTCTGCTCTGGGTGGAGACTAGCCCTGCCCCTACTGTGATATCACTGTACGTGCCCCTCCCACCCTTGATCAAGGTCAGTCCTCTTTGCCTCTAGAGGGGAAGGAGGAGGAGTAAGTGGGGGAGGAGAATGAGGATGAGAAAAATGATGAAGTGGAAGAGGAGGATGAGGAGGAGGAAGAAGAGGTGGTGGTGGAGGAGGAGGAGTGAGTTCATTAGATCTGTTCAGCCCTAACCTCCACCCCTTCCCCTCCCCCACCACACCCTTCCTTCACCCAGGGAACCCAGAAGTTCCTACACATGAGTGTGTATGAGGTAAGTCTACACTTCTGCCCCAGCCCCTCCTGCTGCCCCACCTGTCCCTCTGCATCCCCCTTATATTTTCTTCTGTTTCCTCTTCAATCTTCTCCTAATCCCCCCCCCCATCCCAAATTGGCTTGTCTTAGTGCCTCGGGGCATGTGTGTGGGCAGTACAATTCTGACTATGATTCTGGAGGGCACAAATATTCTCTTCCACCCTTTCCCCATTCTTTTTGTGTGGAAGGGCGAAGACCCCTACCCAAATTGACTACTCAGGAGTCGCTCCAAGTAGGGTGCAGAAAATTTATTAGAATCTCATGAGAAGCGGGCCGAAAGGACAACAGAAATGCTCATAGCAGGAGGGCCACTCCCCTGAGCGCGTGTGCAGTTTTTATACATTTTAGACAAAGAACCCCGAAAATTCCACCTTCTATACATTGTGATTGGCTAAATAAACTTTTCTTTCCTTATTTGGACAATGGAATGCGGTGACTGAGGTAATGGTATAGTTTCTCCGGCCACATATATTCCAATTCCTTTTTAGGACAATGGTATGCAGCCCAGTCCTTATCTAACATCACATGACTGAGGCCTCCAAGGCTTCAGCTAATCGAGCTAACAGTATTAGTACATACCAGACTGTGAGTTCTTCACCTATCTCATACATTTTCAATTCCATTCAAGGTTTTCTTAAAGGAATCCAAGCTACACGAGGCTTCTGTCTGGTAGTTTTGAGTAATTATTTATTAAAAGCATCCCTCTCGGGATATTTAGATTTTTTCCCCCAACTTCATCAAAACATACGTTAAGGTAATTTGTTATCCCAATCAAAAGAACTTCAAGTTGGCTAATGGTGACAGGGTTTTCTTGGGTCAATTTCTGTCAATTAGTTAAATACCTACAGGTTTGGGTCCATAATATAGAGATATACAACCAGCTGCTCTCACCTTGTGTGTCTGTGTGTGTGGGGGGGGAAGGTGGTGAGGGTGGTGGTGACGATGGTGACTTCAGCATATCAGGAAGTTTAGTTACCTATGGGAACTTAGCCAAGATCTTACTTTCTTCTAGAATTTTTCCAAGTAGTATGCACTACCTGAATTAAAAACTGGGGGTTTTGAAAAGAAATTCCTGACTAAACTGTAAAACCTGGGATGCATCAGTCCCAAGCTGCAGGTTTTCACTGGTCCCTGCTGGCAAGTTTTTACTACTTCCCCTATAGTGGGGTGCCAGTCCTGTGGTGCTCATAACTGGGTATCCCTCTGTGGCCAGAAACTTCTGAGACAGTCTAGGACTCTTTCCCTGCCCTTCTTCATATCATCTCTTTTGTTTGGTGTCATTTACTTTAATGATATATTTATTTTTTCTTCTGGTTTCAACCAGCACCTGATGAAAGGGGCATTTCCATGTACCTTGTTGTGGAACAGAAAGAGGAGACTGTCCCTGAACCTGCAGATCTCTACAATTTGCAGACTGAAAGAAAAAACATTTTTTATTCATTTATTTATTTTTAGTTTTCAACATTCACTTGCATAAGCTTTTGAATTTTAAATTCCCCCCCCCATGGCTTGCAATCTGATATAGGCTCTACATATACATTCCTATTAAAAATATTTTCACATTAGTCATGTTGTAGAGAAGAATTAGAACTAATAGGAGGAACCACAAGAAAGAAGAAACAAAACAAAACAGAAGAAAAAAAAGAGCAAATAGAATGCTTTGATCTGCAATCAAACTCCATAGTTCTTTCTGTGCACGCAGATAGCATTTTCCATCATGAGACTTTTGAATGTATCTTAGATCCTTGCATTGCTGAGAAGAGATAAGTCTGTCAAAGTTAGTCATCTCACAGTGTGTCTGTTACTGTGTACAATGTTTTCTTGGTTCTGCTCACTTCACTCAGCATCAGTCCATACAAGTCTTTTCCAGGTTTTTCTGAAGTTTGCCTGCTCATCATTTCTTATAGCACAATAGTATTCCATTACATTCATATACCACAACTTGTTCAGCCACTCCACACTTGATGGGCATCCTCTCAATTTCCAATTCTTTGCCACCACAAAAAGAGCTGCTATAAATATTTTTGTACATGTGGGTCCTTTTTCTGTTTTTATGATCTCTTTGGAATATAGTGCTATTGCTGGGTCAAAGGTGTGCACATTTTGTAGCCCTTTGGGCATAGTTCCAAATTGCTCTCCAAAATGGTTGGATCATTTCACAACTCCACCAACAATGCATTAGTGTTCCCATTTTCCCACATCTTCTCCAACATTTATCATTTTCCTGTTTTGTCATGTTAGCCAATGTGATGGGTATGATGTACCTCAGAGTTGTTTTGATTTGCATTTCTCTAATCACTAGTGATTTAGAGCATTTTTTCATATGACTATATTTAATTCCTTTAATTTCATTTATTTTTTTCCTCTGAAAATTGCCTATTCATATCCTTTGACCATTTATCAATTGGAGAATAACTTATAAATTTGACTCAGTTCTCTATATGTTTTAGAAATGAGGCCTTGATCAGAGACATTGACTGTAAAAATTGTTTCCCAGCTTGCTGCTTCCCTTCTAATCTTGGTTGCAGTGGCTTTGATTGTGCCAAACCTTTTAAATTCAATGTAATCAAAGTCATCCATTTTGCATTTCATAATATTCTCCATCTCATGTCTGGTCATAAATTCTTCTCTTCTTCATTGATATGATAGTAAACTATTCCTTGCTCTCCTAGTTTGCTTATAGTATCAATCTTTATATTTAAATCATGTACCCATTTTAATTTTATCTTGGTATAGGGTATAAGATGTTGGTCTATGCCTAGTTTCTGCCATACTATTTTCCAGCTTTTCCAGCAGTTTTTGTTAAATAGTGAATTCTTATCCCAGAAGCTAGAGTCTTTGGGGTTCATCAAAGAGTAGATTAACAGTCATTGACTATTGTGTCTTGTGTGCCTAACCTATTTCATTGAACCACCACTCTATTTCTTAGTACCAAGTAGTTTTGATGATTGCTACTTTATAATACAGTTTAAAATCTGGTAGAGATAGACCACCTTCCCTTGCATTTCTTTTCATTAACTCCCTCTGTATTCTTTTATATTCTGGACCTTTTGTCCTTCCCGATGAATCTTGTTATTGTTTTTTCTACCTGTCTAAAACAATTTTTTGGTCATTTGATTGGAGTGGCACTGAAATAAGTAAATTAATTTAGGTAGAATTGTCATTTTTATTATATGAGCTCAGCTTACGCATGAGCAACTTATATTTTTCCAATTATTTAAATCTAACTTTATTTGTGCGAAAAGTGTTTTGTAACCATATTCATATAGTTCTTGGGTTTGTTTCAGCAGGTAGACTCCTAAATATTTTATAATGTCTATGGTAACTTTCAACGGAATTTGTCTTTCTGTCTCTTGCTGTTGGGCTTTATTGGTAATATATAGAAATGCTGATGATTTATGTGAGTTTATTTTCTATCCTGCAACTTGCTAAAGTTGTTAATTATTTCAAGTAGATTTTTACTTGATTCTCTAGGTATATCATCATATCATTTGCAAAGAGTGATAGCTTTGTTTCTTCTTTGCCTATTCTAATGCCTTCCATTTCTTTTTCTTCTCTTATTGCTAAAGCTCATGTTTCTAGTACCATATTGAACAACTGTGGTAATAATGGACATCCTTGTTTCACACCTGATATTATTAGAAATGCTTCTAGCTTATCCCCATTACATATAATGCTTGCTGAAGGCTTTAGGCAGATGCTACTTATCATTTTAAGGAAGACTCCATTTATTCCTATGTTCCCTAGTGGGGTTTTGTTGTTGTTGTTGTTGTTGTTTTTAAGCAATTGGGGTTAAATGACTTGCCCAGAGTAACACAGCTAGTACATGTCAATTGGTTGGTCTGAAACCAGATTTGAACTCGGGTCCTCCTGACTTCAGGGCCTGTGCTCTAACCACTGCACCACCTAGCTGCCTCCTGCCCCAGTGGTTTTTAATAAGATTGGGTGTTATATTTTGTCAAAAGCTTTTTCTGCATCTATTGAGATAATCATGTGGTTTCTATCAGTTTTGTTGCTGATATGATCAATTATGCTGATAGTTTTCCTAATATTGAACCAGCCCTGCGTTCCTGGTATAAATGCTACCTGCTCATAGTGTATTATTCTTGTGATAAATTGCTGTAATCTTTTTGCTAATATTTTATCTAAAGTTTTTGTATCTATATTCATTAAGGAAATTAGTCTATAATTTTCTTTCACTCTTTTGACCCTTTCAATTTCGGTATCAGCACCATATATCTGTGTCGTAAAAGGAATTTGGTAAGACTCCTTCTTCACCTGTTTTCTGAAATAGTCTATATAGAATGGAATTAATTGTTCTTTAAATGTTTGAGAGAATTTGCTTGTAAATTCATCTGGACTTGAAGATTTTTTCATTGATGGCTTGTTCAATTTCTTTTTCTGAGATGGGGTTCTTTAAGTATTTTACTTCTTCTGTTAATCTGGGCAATTTATATTTTTGTAACTATTCATCCATTTCACTAAGATTGTCGAATTTATTGGCATACAGTTGGGCAAAATACCTCACGATTACTGTTTTAATTTCTTCTTCATTGGTGGTGAATTCACCTTTTTCATTTTGGATACTGGTAATTTGGTTTTCTTCTTTCTTTTTTTTAATTAAATTATCCAAAGGTTTATCAATTTTATTGTTCTTTTTCATAAATCCAGCTCTTAGTTTTATTTATTAGTTCAATAGTTTTCTTAATTTCAACTTCATTAATCTCACCTTTGGTTTTCAGAATTTCTAATTTGATATTTAATTGGGGATTTTTATTCTGTTCTTTTTCTAGTTTTTTTAGTTGCATGCCCAATTCATTGATCTCTTTCTCTATCTTATTCATGTAAGTGTTTAGAGTTATAAAACTTCCTTTAAGAACTGCTTTCACTGTATCTCATAAGTTTTGGTATGTTGTCTCATTATTGTCCTTCTCTTGGATTAATTGTTTCTGTGATTTGTTGCTTGACCCACTCATTCTTTAGAATTAGATTATTTTGTTTCCAATTAAGTTTTTCTCTATCTTTCCATAGCCCTTTATTACATATAATTTTTATTGCATCTTGATCTGAAAAGAATGCATAATATTTCTGCCATCCTGCATTGGATTGTGAAGTTTTTATGCCCTAGGACATAGTCAGTTTTTGTGTAAGTGACATGTACTGCTGAGAAAAAAGTATATTCCATTCTATCCCCATTCAATTTTCAATATCTAACTTTTCTAAAATTCTCTTCACATCCTTAACTTCTTTCTTGTTTATTTTGTTGTTGAATCTATCTACTTCAGAGAGGGGGAGGTTGAGGTCCCCCACCAGTATACTTTTTCTATTTCTTCTTGTAAATCTCTGAACTTCTCTAAGAATTTGGATGCTATACCACTTGGTGCATGTGTAGGGTGTTTATGAACCCCCTTGTAATAATCAGTCAGAGACTTTTCTTAAGAAAGGCAAAAAGGAGTTTTATTGCTTTCTCATGAGAAAGGACATACCCTGTGTTGCTTAAGATGGCACCAGCAAGGGAGTGTGTGGGCGTATAGCTCAGAGCAAGTTTCTATAGACCCTAATTCGGAACCCCCACCCACCGACTGGCTCTTCTGCCCATTGGCTGGGCTTCGGAGCTCACAGTCTAAGTACAGAAACTTCTCCCCAGCACCAAGGACAAAAAGGGCACGAAACAAGGAATGGTTTGCTTCAACAACTAGGGAGGGGGCCTGAGGAGGGATAGAATTCAGGTGAACAGGATGTGGCTCTGTCACCTGATCTACTCGTGACACCCTGCTTTCTCAGTGAGGCAGCTTCTGAGAAATATAGGGCAGGGTCAGCTTTTACCCTACACGGGGTTGGGGGGTGGGCTTCACTATTTCAGCATTCCATTAAGTGCATATATGTTTAGTAATGATATTACTGCATTGTCTATGGTGCATTTTAGCAGAATGTAGTTTCCCTCCTTATCTCTTTTAGTAAGATCTATTTTAGCTTTTGCTTGGTCTGAGATCAGCATTCCTACTCCTACTTTTTTTTTTACTTCCACTAAAGCGTAAAATATTATACTCTAGCCTTTTACCTTTACCCTGTGTGTATCCCTATATTTCAAATGCATTTCTTGTAAACAACATACTGTAGGATTATAGTTTTTAATCCATTGTGCTGTCCATTTCCATTTTACGGAAGAGTTCATCCCTTTCACATTCACAGTTATAATTAGTATCTGCCTTTCTCTCCATTCTATTCCTCTATCAACTGTTTATGCTTTTCTTTCTACTTTTCTCCCTTTCCCTCCTCACTAGAATTTTGCTTTTGACCACTGCCTCCCTCAATCTGCCCTCCCTTCTATTAGCCGCCTCCCTTTTCTTTCCTTTTTCTTTCCTTTTTCCCTTACTATTTCTTCCCTCCCTTCTATCTCCCTTTCCCTTTTTTTCCCCCTTTCCCCTCCTACTGCCTATATGGCAAGTTAAATTTCTATACCTGAGTATGTTATTCCCTCCTCGAGCAAAATTGAATGAGAGTAAAGTTGAAACAGTACTGATCTCCCTCCTTTCTTTCCTTGTACTGTAATATGTCTTCATGTGATGTAATTTACCCTTTTCTGCTTCCTCCTTTCCTCTTCTCCCATTACAATTCCTTTTCACCACTTCATTAGGTTTTTTATCATCACATCAAAGTCAACTTAACCCCCCATGTCTATGTATATCTCTTGTAAATGTTGTAGTGAAGATACTGTTCTCAACAGTTATAAGTATCATCTTCTCATGTAGGGATGTAAACAATTTACTCTTATTGAATATGATAGTCATTTAAGATCAATTGAGTCCTGATAAGGGCCAAAAACCTGAACTAACCTTTTCTCTCTGAATGAACTAAAAATACCCCTTCTTGTGTCAGCAACTACAGGACCAGATGGAACTGACCAGCATGCTTCTTGTTTGTTATCACTAAGGACTGGATACCTAGGACCAGACACTCTCTTGAATGGTGGGACTTTTCTTATCTTTGTATCCTATGGACATATGTTATGTAGGGGACACATAGATATCCTGGATCTATAATTTCAATTGACACTTTGACAACCTATTCAACTAAGAAACTTCCTTTGCCATGCTATATGTTAAAAAACATATGGAGGCTGTATTTTTGTTTTAGTAACACAGACATCCTGAGTCAGGGTTTAAATGTCCTCCAAAAATTGCTTGAGTCAATCAGAGTTAAAGCTCTGATTCCATGTACATGTGCTACTTAAAGGAATAAAACAATATGAATTTACTTAACACCTAGCTTGTCTCTTTAACCAACTTTCAGGTCGACAGTAATGGTGCTATGACTCAGATTGGAACTGAAGAAGTAGGAGAAAACACCCTACCCCAGCAATGCTAGTGGCTCTGGCGCCTCAGGATCTGTTTGTTTTTTTTTTCCTGGAGTCCTAACCTTGATGGAGTCGAGTAAGTTTCTTCTAATTCCAACTTCCAAGGACCTCCCACTAGTTTGGTTGAAGTCTGAAAGAAAATTCCCTTTAAGTTAGCTCTGGGGTCAGGGATCAAGTTGAGGTTCAGAAACTCTGGCTACTCTATCAGGTCCCCTCTGGTAAGGATCAATCTAGAGAAATTGGCTGTGGGTCAGAAACTGAAACTAGAAATCCCGCTAACAACACCACCTCTCACATGTCAAGCCATTGCCAATCTGGTGATCACAAGTACTGCTAGCACTAATATCAATTAACTAAAGATAGCCCCAAATTATGTTGGCCACAATAGGGGTTCTTTTGACCAGTCAAAGTTACTCTATCTTAAAACTGAATTAAGTTTAAAGGCCAATAAAACATCTAGCCAGGAGTGGGAATGTTTTCATCATTGGGTTGCTGAGATGGCTGAGGGAGAAGAAAAGGCAGAAGTCTCTTCCTTTAAGGCTCACAAAGCTGCTTCAGCACTCTTTCCCAGACACTGAATAATCCCCTTCCTCCTCTCCTTTTCCCTTAAAGGCTATGGTCCTGATGGGGACTCAGATCCCCAAACTTAACTTTATTGGGACTTCCCCCTTTAAATCTGCAACCTCAGGGGCATTCTGAGGAAGGCTAGCAAGATCGTTACACTATCAGGTCTTGTTTGGATCCTTGCAAATTCCCCAACCTCTCTTCCTCAGAATAATAATAATCATAGCCAAGTCATGTTGGGGGTTTTCTAACAAGCCTCTAATTCCCTCTCTCTGTGTCATTAAGTGCGAACCATGTCACTATGTTTGTACTGTATTGTCCTGTCAATTTGTCTGTCGGTGTGTGTTTCTGTATCTGTGCCTGGTAAGATTTAAAGTGCAGGCAGCCAGAGAATTCTAAGGGCTGAAGCTAGGGAAACACCAAGCTGTAAAACTCCTTTCCTTGTGGGTGCAGGCCTGGCCAGCCTAGACTTACAGTGAAAAGTTAGATGCAGCTAAAGACGTCTTAGTCCGTTCTGGAGGTTTTGAGATTAATCATTAAGAAACTGGAAAGTTGTTCGTTTGGGGACTGTTGGAGAAAACTTCTGAGACTGGGGGTAATTCCAGGAGCTCACCCTCTGCTAAAACACCTCCTCCCAATTCTGATTCCTCAGCATTCCCCACTCCCTCTTCAGAGATAAGCATCTTAATAAGGGGACTGTAAAAGAGAAGAGAATGCTGGAGAATTGTAGGGAAAACTTAAATTAGCCTTCCCTATCTGGCAAAAGGAGGACAGGGGCAGCTAACACAGACTAGCAGTAATAATCTGCTATCAGCCCTATGCCCCTGGGCACCTTGCAGCCCATCCTTCTAGGCAAGGCCTGGCAGTAGCATCCAGGTTCAATACATTCTGCCCACCCTGACCCAGCAGCTGCAAACCGCACCAGCCTCAGTAAATTATGCAGCTGTGGGGAGGAGAGAAGTGGACAGGTCAGAACTATGATGAGATTCCCTAAGCCCTGCCACCAAAAATTATCACCACTGGCAAGGCCCTGTTATCAGCCACCCAAACCCCTGGAAGGCGTGGCAATAACATTATGAGATTAGAAGCCAACTTCTACTCTTGGTAAGCCTCACACTTCTCTGTTCCAGTTTTGTAATTTATGGCAAGTTGTTTTATCCCTGTTTGCCCTGATTCCTGATTTGTAAAGGGAAAAATAATAGTGGTTGTTGTTATGGGATCAAAATGATATGATGATTGTAAAGTGCTAAAAACAATGACTGGCATATGTTAGACAACATTATTTTTATCTCTCTAATGCAATGTAATTTTTCCATACCTGATAACTTTGAAGTGGTTTTTAAATACCAGGAGTAATAAGATCAATAATTTCTATATGTGGTAATCTGGAAATGCAACTGATGTCATCTGACGTTTATTGTTTGTGTTATTACTATGTTTCTAAACTGTATTGTATTTCTAACACTCTCTTAGATTGTAAAATTTGAGAGATCATTGTGAGGTAGAAATGGTACATATGGATTGGTCTTTTAAAGGGATGTGATAAAATTGGATAATTTGAAAATTGTTAACATTTAATGAGGTATATTTGGTTATAAGCAGGTAAGTAATTGGTTCTGTTACAAGTTTTAAATACCTGATAATTGTTTATGGTATGGTTATATTTCTGAGATTTTTTTATATGTTGTAATCTGGTAAACAAATCATATCAGCTATGTTGTTGAAAAAGCAATTTCTCTTATAATCTAGAGATGTTAGATCAAGAATTGTTACCCCTCCAAAAAAACCAGTAGGGGAGAATGTATGGGTTAGAATAAACTTCCAAGTTTTATTTGCTTTTAAGAAGTTGTTTCACCGAAAATTCTTATCAAATCTGTGTAAAAGTTTCCTGTGTTGTGGAATTCCTCAGTAAATGAGAATCCTTGAGATATAATTTGGAGATTTATGGACTACCACCTTCACTATCCATGTGAGATTCCAGAATGTAATAGTTTTTCCTAATTTCCAGTTATATATTTAAAGACAAAGGAAAAAAATACAGAATAAATTTTTAAAGGCTTGATAATATTTGTTATTGTGATTAGGCTAATTTAAATGGGTATGTTCTTCATGCATTATAAAAACTGATTTTTTTTCTCCATTACATACACCTTCTTGACTAAGGAACTTTGTGATATCTAGGAATTTAGTTTGTATAGTATTTTGGGAAGTTATTTATGTTACTTAAGGACATTTTACATCTCCAACTTTAAAGGTTTATTTTCACTTTAAGGTGGAAAAGAAGGATATCTATCGCTTTAAAAATTCCCAAGAAATGTTCTTCATAGAAGTTTAGTGATTATTCTTCTTAACATCAGGATAAATTTTAAACTGTTTTTAAAGAAGGGAAATACTTTTAGAAAAAATGTCTTGTTTGATTGTTTTTGAAGGCCTACTATATTTTCATTTGCAAGATAACATATTGCTAAATTATTGTAATGAATTGTAAAGCAGAAGAGATCTTGCTGTTTTGATCTGAATCTGTAGTCATTCCATGGCCTAAGCAAGAGTTAAATTAGTGTTAGAACTTATAGGTATAAGATTAAAATCCTGAAGTATCTCATTCTTTCAGAGTGAGTGTAATTAGAGAAGAATAAACAAGCTTGTGAACAAGGACATAAATCCATCAACTTATGAGGTTAAAGTTAGTAACCTCTTTGTTTTGTTTAAGGACTAGGATTCCAATATAGTTATGTTAGTGAAGAGTAGTAACTTATGAGCTCTTTTGTGTTAACTGAATGGGAAATCTAATATTATTTTTAATCTGGAATTAGAACATGTACAGAAATGTATACAAACTTCTGCAGTTCTCAAGATGTTTCTCATCTCAAGATGTTCCCATTGTTTAAAGGAATTATGAGAGCAGTAGTATTTTTCTGTGACCAGTATTTTATTGTTACCAATGTGAGATTAAATTCTTATTATCTAGGATATGTGACTTTGTGGGACAGCAATTTACTATTGTTTTGAGCTTTGATTACCAGGATAATTGTCTGAGGTGTCATGAAGCCAATAGTAGAATGGCATGTGCTGCAAGCTGAGAACTGATAAAGGTGGATGTCTGTGCCTAGGAAGAGTTTTGAGGGCGACCTTGGACACAGCCTAGCTACATAGGATCTTCCTGACTCTATTTCCCAATTGTGCTTTTCCTTTCTGAAAAGGGAAATTCTCCAGCTAATTAATCCTAAGCCCTGCTTTTAACATCCAGTGACTACATGATTGGCTATCAGATACGACTCATGCCTGGAATCAAATAGAGCTAAGGAAGTTCTTTCCTTCTGATATGATATATGACCTTGTCCCTCTGGAACATCTCTGAGTTACCATAATAGGATGAGAGTATGAATAGCTTACAATTTTAACTTACATTCATGGCCAAATAATAATAATATAAGGATATCATCCTCCTAAGGAGGAAATATTGAGACAAAGTAACAAAGATGTAATGTGATAGATGTCTAATTAAATAGGATAGCAGACTTTGAGAAAAGCAACAGGATTAGGCTGATTCCTCTAAGAATTATATACAGATATGTATGATTGGCTTCCAAAGTGTATCTGTCATGGAAATCCAAGCTTTAAGCATGTTTAGGTAATAAGATCTCAAATTTAGATTTTTCACCAAAAATTGTATAGGATAGTGGTAAAAGTAAGTGAAATTATTTCTCCTTTATTAAAGTATCTGGTAATTTTAAAAGGCAGGAGAGCTCATTTTATGGTTGGATCTTCACATTTTAAACGATTCTTATACCAGGTACAGAATGTAGGTAAGAACAGAAGGAGCAGATGATATCCAAAATGGAGAACCAAATTTTAGTGATTGTACTAATTTGTACTAAAACAGAGTTATCTGGGAAATTCTAAACCTAAACCAGAGAAGCAGCGCTCCCTTTTTGAACTGCCTATGAGTTCAACCTATTGTACATGAGCAAGGAACTTAATGTTAGTTAACATTGGTAATAATGATTGTATTGATTTGTATGGTTCATGTTTAAGGTTTTCTTGGTTATCTTGGTGACAGATAAATCTCCCTTCTCAAAACTAGTCTATTGTGAACCCTTTAAGTAATTTAATCTGTACCTGACTTGATGTAATTATGCAGTTTTGTGAATTATGAGAAAACTTTGTTGTGTTGTTTGAACCTAGCCCTGCGTGGCTGGGAAAACTGAACCATCTCTATGTGTCTTTAACTAAAGACTTTTGTTATGCTATTTTCTCTCAATTATCAATTCATACATCTTCTAAGAGCCCCTATCAGGTCTATGTGACTACTCCCATAGCTGCCAGCTTCTGGATGTGGACTCCAGGATCATCTGAAGACACCTGTTCCAAGTGCACATCTCTTCCCACCCCCTGAGGAAGAAGAAGGTTTTTCCCACACCTTTCTTTCATCTACAGGTGAAGCCTTCAGCTTACCTTTGACCCAAAGGAGGAAATGATAATCATTTAAGATCAGCTGAGTCCCAATAAGGCCCCAAAACTTGAACTAATCTTTTCTCTCTGAATGAACTAAAAATACCCCTTCTTGTGTCAGCAACTACAGGACCAGATGGAATTGACCAGCATGCTTCTTGTTTTTTGTCACTAAGGACAGGATACCTGGGACCAGACACTCTCTTGATTGGTGGGACTTTTCTTGTCTTTGTATCCTGTGGACATATGTTAGGTAGGGGAAACACAGATATCCTGGATTTATAATTTCAATTGACACTTTGACAACCTATTCAACTAAGAAACTTCCTTTGCCATGCTATATGTTAAAAAACATATGGAGGCTGTATTTTTGTTTTAGTAACACAGACATCCTGAGTCAGGGTTTAAATGTCCTCCAAAAATTGCTTGAGTCAATCAGAGTTAAAGCTCTGATTCCATGTACATGCGCTACTTAAAGGAATAAAACAATATGAATTTACTTATCGCCTAGCTTGTTGTCTCTTTAACCAACATTCAGGTTGACAAATATCCTGTTTTTCCCCCTTTTCTGTTTACCTTTTTATGCCTCTCTTGAGTCTGGTATTTGAAAATCAAATTTTCCATTGAGCTCTGATCTTTTCATCAGGAAAATCTAGAAGTCCCCTATTTCATTGAATGTCCATCTCCTCCCCAAAAAGATTATGCTCAGTTTTGCTGGGTAGTTGATACTTGGTTGTAATCCAAGCTCCTTTGCCTTATGGAATATCATATTTCAAGCCCTCTGATATTTTAATGCAGAACCTGCAAGGTACTGAATAATCCTGACTGTGGTTCCATGATATTTGAATTGTTTCTTTCTGGCTGCTTGCAGGATTTTCTCCTTGACCTGAAAATTCTGGAATTTGTCTATAACATTCCTTGGTGTTTTAAATTTGGGATCTCTTTCAGGAGGTGATCTGTGGATTCTTTTGATAACTGTTTTACCCTCCTGCTCTAGGGCCTCGGGGCATTATTTTTCTTAATGATCTCCTGGAAGATGCTGTACAGGCTCTTTTTTTGTTACAGCTTTCAGATAGACCGATAATTCTTAAGTTATCTCTCCTGGATCTGTTTGCCAGATCAGTTGTTTTTCCAATGAGGAATTTTACATTTTCTTCTATTTTTTCATTCTTTTGATTTTATTTGACTGATCCTTTATGTCTCATAGAGTCATTAGCTTCCACTTGCCCAATTCTAACTTTTAATGAATTGTTTTCTTCATTTAGCTTTTGTACCTCCTTTTCCATTGGGTTCCTTTTACTTTTTAGGGAGTTGTTTCCTTCAGTGTACTTTTTTTTTCCATTTAATCAATTGTATTTTTAAAGGAATTGTTCAATTTTTCTTCTGCCTCCCTCATTTGACTTTTAAAATCCTTTTTGAGCTCTTCCAAGAAGCCTTTTTGGACTTGATACCAGTTCACATCCCCCTCTGAGGTTTCAGATGTGTGTATATTGACAATGTTATCCCCTCCTGAATTTGTGTTTTGATCTTCCCTGTGACCAAGATACTTTTCTCTGGTCATTGTTTTTCTGTGGTGCTTCTTGCTCATGTTGTTTGCCTTTGTCTGGCTTTTCAAGTTTATCTCTGCTTCTGGGGTGCAGGAGGCACTGACCCAGTCTTGTGCTGGGGGCTAGGGGCCTGGTTACTGGTTTGTTGAGGTGGGACTTGCCACTGCCTTTCTGGGATGCCTCCCTTCCTGTACTGGTCCCCTCCAGGCACAGCAAGAGGGAGCTTTCCCATTAATCCCCATAGCCTCAGGAGCTAAAAGACTGCTGTATCTAGTTTTTCTGATGATTCTACTATTTCAGGATTTTTCCTGAGGCAATATTCTCTGGATTTTTCAAGGTCAGTAAGGTAAGGTGAAATTGACTTGCTGCTTATTACTCCATCTTGGCTCCCAGCGAGAAATGTTTCAATATGCACTTCTCTCAGTATGAAAGATTTGGAGCATTTTGTCATAAGCCTATTGATAGCTTGGATTTCTTACTTTGAAAACTTCCTGCTCCTTTGACCATTGGAGAATGGCTCTTAATCTTAGAAAGTGGAATCAATTCCTTCTATGTTTTGCATAAACACAGTCCTTAGAGAACTTTACTGCAAAGATATATTTTTTCCTCATTTAACTGTTGCCTTTCTCATTTTCACTGCATTTAATCTGTTTGTGCAAAAACATTTCAACTTTGTAGAAGCAGAATTATCTATTTTATTTTCTATGATTCTCTCTGTTGCTTGTTCTGTCATAACCTCTTTCCCTATCCATAGAAGTGAAAAGTAATTTACTCCTTGCTCCTTTAATTTGCTGTTGAATCTCTTTTTACACCCAACTCATGTATCTGTTTATAGCTTAATTTGAAAGGTGCTGTGAGGTGTTGATGGCTTATTGAATTTGGGGCATACTGCTTTTCCCTCATCACATTTTTTTTTTCATTAAATAGTGTGGTCTCCTTTTGCCCCACCACCCAATTGCTGTCTTTGGGTTTATTAAACACTAAGTTATTTTATCTGTTTGCTTGTGTACATTATATACCTAGTCTTTTCCATGAATCTCCCTTTCAGTTTTTAACAAGTTGAAATTCTTTTCTGGGCAGCTAAATATCCTGTGGGGCCTGAAGTCAGGAAGAATCATCAACTTGAGTTAAAACTGGGCCTCAGGCAGTTACCAGCTATGTGACCCTCAGCAAGTCACTTCACCTTCTTTGCCTCAGTTCCTCACCTGTCAAATAAGCTTTAGAAGGAAATGGTAAACCAGTCCAGTATCTCTGCCAAGAAAACCCCAAATGGGGTCAGGAAAAGTCAGACAGGACTAAATAACAGCAACAATTGCTTTCATAATCACTGATTTGTAGTATAGTTTGGATCTGCTACTGATAATCACTACCCCAAACCCCTTTCCTTCCTCCCCCCCCATTATTATCCTTGAGATGCTTGACCTCTTTTTAAACTTTTTTATTGATATTTTCTGTTTCTTACATCACCAGAGTATCCCATGTATCCCTCCCTCTCCCCATCCTCAAGAGCCATGTCATGCTACAAATAGTATTTTTTCTTTTAGGGAAGAAAAGGAAAGCAAGCACAACTGATTGATGCATTTGGGATGTGTGCAGTGTGTGCAATGTATAACATCTGTGGACCTGTCACATCCTGGACAGGGTAGGTTGATGGTGTCTTCTCATGTTGCACATTTTTTTTTACTGATAACTTAATTTTTTGTGCACCATTCTTTCCATTTCAGTTATTATACTTAGCATGTACTGTTGTTGGATTTTTTTTTTTGGCTTTGCTTAATTCACTTTGCATCAGTTCATAAAGGTTTAGAGAGTTTAAGTGTCTTTTCTATGGTGAATAAGGCAAAACTTCAGTCTAAGTCAGGGGTGGAGAACCTGTGGCCTCAAGGCCACATGTGGCCCTCTAGGTCTTCAAGTGGGACCTTTTGACTGAATCCAAACTTCCAGAACAAATCCACTTAATAAAAAGATTTGTTCTGTAAAGCTAGAAGGTTATACATGGCCTTAAAGCTGCAAGTTCCCCACCCCCGGTCTAGGTCTTGTGACTCCAATTTCAGGTGTCTCTCCACTATGGCAATTCACTAGTAGCAGGTCGGCTGGTATTGGAGAGAATAAAACCCCAAATCTGAAGGAGTTTTAGAAAGAAATGTATGAAGTCCCTTGGTGGAGGAGGCTGAGCCAGAAAGGAGGGTGTGGTTCCCTCTTGTCCAGGCTCTGGAAGGTTTATATTATATAGGATTTAGACCAGGGTACCCACAACAGTGGGGGCAGACACGCTGCCTTCCTCAGTACCCCCTTGTCCTTCCCTGCCTGGCCTGATCTTTGTCTCCTGCCTAGAGAAAGGAGGCTGAGCCCCGCCCCTTCCCCACACCAACCCTTTCTTCCTCTGCTCTGGGGGTTGGGAGGAATCCAAGTCTCATTCAAGGATTAGTGGTTTGAAGATGCTGCTGCAGCCACTGTGCTCCTCCCTTTTATGGAGCCAAAGATAGCCCCCCCTCCACCTCCCCCATCCCCTCTTTGTCTTCCCCTTCCCAGTTTCCCTAAAGGGATTGACCCTCAATAACCCCAAGCTGAGCTCAGCTGCTGCCTCCCACCCCCAGCCCCAGCAGTCTGTTCTTAGTAACCTGGGACCCTGGTCAGCCCCAGGGCCAGTTCCAGATGGAAGATGCACCTGTGGCCCCCTTCCCTAGCCTGTTTGGGTGATGGTGGCAGACAGAAATGACTGAGGGAGCTCCCCACTGCTCTAGGTCTGATGTTAGAGACCCCCTCCCCTCCCCTTGCCCTTCCCCTCTCTGCTCTGGAGGAGATTAGCCCCGCCCTACAATGATGTCACAGTGCCCACCTCCCTCCCACCCTCTATTAAGTGTAAGTCTTCTTTGTCTCTGGAGGGAGCTGTGAGTGGGCCAAGAAATTGGAGGTCTGCTTGCCCCTCACCCACTTCCCTTCCCTATCCCCTCCATACCCCTTCTCTCCATTATCCCCATCTTCCCACCATCTTCCCGTCATCTTCCAGACAGACTGATCCTGAGGGTCCTGCTAGTGCCCAACTGTCTGTGAGTGAAGTAAGAGCCCCCTCCCCTGCCTCAGCCCCTCCCTTTCTTCTCCTTCTCTTCCCTTTCCCCCCCAACCTTTTCGTGAAGCTGACCTTTGACCCTCCTCAGTTTATGCCAGTGTTGTATCTTACCTATTTTGTTGGTGTGTCGTCCCCCCCCCCCCGTAAAACCTGCTCTTACTTTGATCTGTTAGTTCAATATTTTTCTTCATTTAAATTTTATTAATCTCCCCTTTGCTTTTCAGAATTTCTAATTTGGTATTTAATTGGGGATTTTTAATTTGTTCTTTTTCTAGCTGTTTTAGTTGTGTACCCAATTTATTGATCTCTTCTTTCTCTTATTTTATTCATGCAAGTATTTAGAGATATAAAATTTCCCCTAAGAACTGATTTGGCTCCATCTCATTAGTTTTGGTATGTTGTCTCATTATTGTCATTCTCTTGGATGAAGTTATTGATTATTTCTATGATTTGTTGTTTGGTCCACTCATTCTTTAGGATTAGTCTATTTAGTTTCCAATTAATTTTAGTCTGTTTTCCATGGCCCTTTATTACATGTGGTTTTTATTGCATCATGATCTGAAAAGGATACATTTAATATTTCTACCATTCTGCATTGGATTGCGAGGTTTTTAGGCCCTACTACATGCTCAGTTTTTGTGTAGGTGCTGTGTCCTGCTGAGAAAAAGGTATATTCCTTTCTAGTAGTCCATTTTTAAGGGGTTATTTTCTCCAGTAAGAGCTATGCCTATCAAAGTTGGTCATCACACAATGTTGCTGTTACTATGTTCAATGTTCTTCTGATTCTGCTCACTTCACTCTGATGTGGTGCTTGGGTGCTTATGCTTGGGTGCTTATGCTTGGGTGCTTGTACTTGGACCCCAATTTCTCCCTAGCCTCAGAAACACTGTCCCTGACAGTTTCTCCTCAGCCCAAGGACCCTGTGCTTAGCAATTACTCATGAGTGGGCCCCAGCAAGACCCTCATCTCTCTCCCTGGTGCAGTTCCAAACAGCACCTGAAGGATTTATTAGTTTAAACTGGCTTTGCCGGCAACCAGATAGTGCACGGAATGGAAAGGCGTGAAATAGGAAGTGAAGAAGTGGGCCAGATGGAGCAGAAAAACTGACTCAGTTTATTTTTCTAAGGGTACAGGATATACAGAGAAAATCCATTTTAACTTCAAAGAGTCGTCCTGTGAGACACTCCCAGAAACATCTGCTAAGGATGTGATAACATACAGTTCCTCCTTATGAGAGTTCCTAGATAGAGTTGTAAATTCCAAGGCTTTTTCCTGGCACCTGTATAGAGGAGTGAATATGTAAATCTAAGGTTCAAAGAGTGAAAAGGAATGCCTCAGGAGCCTCCTAGCAGGGAGAGATTTGGAGAGCCCTACTTCTTAATTATTAAGCCCTTTGGGTAAAAGCCTGGGCAAAGGTCAAACTCTGTCCTGGATCTTAAACCCATATCAGACTCTAAAGATCGGCACTCAACATGCCTGGGTCATAAAGACATTCTTACCCACTACTATATTATCCTACCGCCCTACCTTATTATCTACATCCTGGGCTCCTCATTAACTGTATTCTAGACTTAAGACATATGTATACTCCCTACATCTATCTTGTCAAACAAGACATTGATTGGTGGCAGACTGGACAACTCTCAGTTACCCTGAACTCTAGTTGACTTAGTGACGTAGCAAGCCTAAAACCACACCTCCATGTGGCCCCCCTTGTGGGCTTTTCCTAATGAACTCTGGGTAAAACGCCCACACAGTAGGTACAAGAAGTGCATGCTGTTTTAAGAACTGACCACTCCTTATCCACTCCCTAATCCTACCCTGAATCCCCTAGTTAGCATATTTGGCACATGTTTTATTGTGTTTTATCCTATATAAACTTTAACTGTACCTCTCTAAGGTTGCAGGATCCTTTAAGAATCCTTGCCTGCTGAAAATTGGAGCACTAAGACATTGTTGGTGGAGTTATGAAATGATCCAACCATTTTGGAGAACAATTTGGAACTATGCCCAAAGGGCTACAAAAATGTGTATACCCTTTGATCCAGCAATAGCACTTCTAGGGCTATATCCCAAAGAGATCAAACAAGTGGGAAAAGGACCCACATGTACAAAAATATTCATAGCAGCTCTTTTTGTGGTGGCAAAGAATTGGAAATTGAGAGGATGTCCATCAATTGGGGAATGGCTGAGCAAGTCGTGGTACATGACTTCTTCCTCTCTCCATCTATGACACCTTGGGAAGTATTAATGGAAAATACAGGCCTTTTTACCTACACAGACTGAAGCAGAGAGTATCTGGGGATGGATCTTTTCTTTAGGAAGTTGGTGGAACCAGGGAGTGTAGTTGCCAAGGTATGAACCAGTGAGGCCCAGTCCCATCAGGGGTGCTCTCCAGTCATCCCTTGGATGACAACCTTACTCCACTTTTCATCAAGACCTGTAATGGAGGAAAAAGTTCAAAGTACACACCTACACATATGAATATGTAAACAGTCATAATTATTGTTCTTTTGCAAATTATCTCTTCCTCTGATGGAGCCTGGAGAAAAGCATAGTGATGGAAAATTGCTAAAGCTAAGAATAATGATGTCTGTACGACAAAGAAAGTACAAACATCAAACCAGGAGGGGCTGGCAAAATCACCAAAGCTGGTGATATCTTCAGAAGGAATTGAGAATTTATGGTGGCTAGGGTTGATTTTATAAGAAAGTTCCTTGAATCAAGGGAAAACTAGTCTAGGAGACAGGAAGGTGGCTGGGAAAGGCTGATGGAGGATGGTGTGAGGGAGAGTAGGGCCATAAGGAGTGGTATCCTGGCCAGGACACTGAGCCTCTAGCAGCTCTGGGAGAACCTCAGTACCCACATAATGATTGGGCATGTGAGAGTGGTGTCAAGGATGCCCCTTGGCATCAACACTTCAATTGTGGTAGGCATATGAATGGTAGAGGGTCTGTGGACCATACTGTCTTTGACTTTACCTTTTATGGACAACCACCCAGGGCAGAAGGAGAAACAGATTCAGAGAGGAAAGTGAATTGTCCTTGGACACACAGGTGCTAAGTGTCAGAGGCAGTTCCAGAACTCTCTTTACCAAAGAATCACAGAAGGTGAGAGCTGAAAGGGACATGAGAGGCCATTGAGTTTAACCATCTTCCTACAAGGAATTCCCACTATAACATACCTTAGAAGTGGTTACGCAGCCTCTGATTGAAGAACACCAGAGAGTGTCCAAGTGTCACTTCAAGGGAGTCTATCTCACTGTAGGGCAGCTCTCATTGCTAGAAAGTTTTTCCTGACATCTGGCCTGGATTGTGACTCTTCTTTTTGGTAAGACAATTGGAGTTAAGTGACTTGCCCATGGTCACACAGCTTGTAAGTGTCAAGTGTCTGCTCTGAGACTGGATTTGAACTCAAGTCCTCCATACTCCAGGGCCTATGCTTTATGCACTGTGCCACCTAGCTGCCCCAGGATTGATGCTCTTTACAACTTTTTCCCATGTGCCCCCACCCCACCTCCCATCCCTAAATATTGTAGGACCTTATATGTGCTTTAAAGTTTACAAAATGCT